ACATAATTTATATATTTAAATAGATGATTTAAATATATAAATTATGTTTAAGATTTATGATAAATAGTTTATATTATAGTATAATATAATTTTTTTATTAATAATATATTTTAAAATATTAAAATTTAATTCATAAATAATTAGGATAAATAAAAATTGAATTAGATAAGAAGTTAAAGAATTTTTCTAAAAACCTTCTTATCGAAAAAAGTCCTTAAAAATGTTCTACAAATTCGTGTCTAATATATAAAAGCTGAATAAAATTTATAATAAAATAGATATCAATATAAATACTATGTTTGAATGTATAAATTATATTGAAAATTAGTATACATAAATATTTAATTTATTTATTGATAATTTATTTTAAATTATTAATATTTAATTTCTAAATAATTATGATAAATAAAAATTAAATTAGATAAGAAGTTAAACAAATTCCTACAAATTCTTTTATTAAAGAAAAGTCTCTAAAATCATTCTCATAGATGTTTATGTTTAATATATAAGAATTAATGTAATAGATAAGGTTTTTATGTTAAAAATTGTTAAAAAAAATTAAAATTATAAAACGTCTTTTTTTACTATAATTTTGAAATCAAGTTGAAATATTTTTCTACAGATTAAATATGCGAATTTGGTCTCCTAATTTTAATTGTATAATTTTAGTTCTTCCATTTTTTAAAATTTGCAACTTTAGTCCCTTTTATTACATGTTCATATGCTAATCATTAAAATTGTAAGTCTTTTTTTGTGCAAATAACAAATTTTTTTTGGTACAATTGAAGTTGTAAGGCTTGTCATTTAAGCCATATGACATGATAATTAATATATAATAGTATTTAAATTAAATGAGGAGGGTTCAAACAACACTAGTGTAATTTTTATTAAGTATTACACTGTTCAATAATTTTATATTAAATGTAAATTTTATAAATCCAATCGTTAAATTATAACTTCATATCACTTTATATGTTTATATCAAATTTTGTTAAAATTTTGTTATATCAAAGTACTCATATTTTATTATATTTTGAAATGTATATATTACGTTAATTTTGTTTTATAAGAATGAAGTATCAAATCATTTTAGATTAATATAAAATTTTATATATATGATTTAAGCGTAAAGAATTTTCAATATAATGATTGAATTTATAAAATTATTTAATATAAAATTATTAAGCGGTGTAATACTTAGTAAAAGTTACACCGATGTCGTTTAAACCCTCCTCAAAGTAAATTATATTTTTAGTTAATTTTTATCTTATTTATCACTTTTATGAGATAAAAATAAGAATTAAAAATGAAATTTAGCCTGAATATTATTAAATATTAATTGTTATGTAATTTACTTGACATCTAATTATGTCTAATATTACAATTTTAACGATTAATGAGTAAATATTCAATAAGAGGTCAAAGTTGTGAATTTTAAAAATTAAAAGAATCAAATTATTAAATTAAAAATAGAGAGATCAAAATTATTGATTTAATATTATGGAGATTAAAAATAAAATTTAACATTTAATTTAATATATTAAAAATTAAAATTCATGGTGTCTATTAAAGGTTAAAAACAATTAAGACAAGTCTATGATTTAAGATGTATATTTGTAAAAGAGATAAAATGTTGTGAGATTTTTTTTTTTTTTTGAAAGAAATGAGAGAAAAAAATATTTGCTCGTCATATATATCGAAACAATCATAAGTAAAATAATATATATACCATTTATTATAATAATAATAATAATAATAATAATAAAATCAAATTAACTTATATTTTATTTAATTTAGAAATATTTAATGATTATTTTCTTTTATATATATATATATATATATATATCCTTATTATAAAGGGTATACTTATTATAAAGGATATACATTTTAGTAACTACCATTTTAGTCTCTACTTTTTCCAAGATCTTTATATCCTTGAATGTAAAAAGAAGTTCTTATATCTTCTACAACTTTTAATATTTATCTGTGTATAATTATTAGAAGTACGAAGTGTCACGACCCCTCTAATTATTAATAAAGGTGATAAATCTTTGGTATGTATATTTTGTTCTTTAACTTTTAAAACATTTTTTCTTTTTATACTCTTTTTCTACTTCTCTGAAAATTTATTGGTAAAACTTTTTACACTTTCGAAAATCAAAATAACTATTCTAATTTTTAACCACTCATATATTTAATTTTAGTTATTTTTATCATTTATTTCATTTTTATTTTAAATAAAATACATGAACTACTTTTTTATGCTGATATTTATAATGGGAGAACTATATATTTTGATGCCAAAATAGTAATAAAAAAAATATTACGATCATATATAGACTGATTATACGAATTAGTTTTTTCTTTCCAGCTTTTTCCAGCCGTATTACATAAACTATTTCTAATTAAGTTTGGAAATTAAATTTACTATCATATCTGTTTTTAGCTGGTTATAGATATTTTATATATTCTAAACACTTTCAAACAAAACCAACATTTACTCGTTCAATTTTTTTTTCTTCCTTTTTTTACAGATATTAGTTCAAAAAAATATTAATTATAAGAATTAAAATAATATACACATATTCTAAATTCAAACTTATCGTCATTTTAATTTTTATTAATAAAAATACTAATTGAAAATTATAAGTCTCATGAATTTTTCATTTAGTTTTTGCATTAATTTATTTCTTTAAATTTTAACAATAAAAATCAGCATTAAATCAATATTAAAAGAAAAAAACTGTGAGATTAAGATATAATTAATAACAAATTAATGTGAACTTTGAATAATTCAGAGAATACATTAAATTATCAATAATTGAGTATCTAAATATTAATTCATTAAGGGACGAAGTTATAGTTTCTTTCCATAACCAAAAAAAAAAATTAAATGACCCCAAAAATTATTTAAAAATATAAATTGAAAATATTTATGTCTCCTAATAAAAGGAGTTAATGAATAAGACCATTCCACAAGTTACTCTAAATTATTTTCACCCCATTTATTATATAACATTAATTAGGATCTCCCAAGATAACGTTATTTTATATTTGGTCAAAGGGTATTTTAATAAAAAAGTAATTTCTTTTTCTTCTTTTTGCGAAGGACTATGTATATTTAAGTCACACACCACCATGCTAAAGAACAAGGCATTAGGGAGTACTCTACTATAGAAGAAGAAGAAGAAGGAAGAAGAAGAAGAAGAAGAGAAAAGAAGGGTTCATGGGAACCGAAGTAAGGTCCATGTTTGGGGGTGAATCAAAGAGTGAAGAACCAACGGCTATGATTACTCGTGACTTGCTTGGTAATGGTGGGTCGTCCTCCATTGAAACACAGGAATTGGATCTCCACTCTCAGGTACCCTCTGGCTGGGAGAAGCGATTGGACCTTAAGGTATCCTATAGCTCTCTTTTATCCAGTAAAGTAGTATTTTTAGTCATGATTTTATGATCAAAATGGGAATGAAATCATTGATTTTTTATTATTTGAGTTAATATGTGGTTGTGAATAACAATCGCAATGTAATGTAATTTTCTTGTTTTGCATCATTGGTTTAAGGTTTCGTCTTAGGTTAACTTGATTATGATTATTGTATAATGTATGCTAGTGAAAATCATTTAGGTTAACTTCATAATTGGGGTTGTTGACTAATAAAGTTTAAAACCATGGTTGTTTTGAATCTTTATTTCTTCACTGTTTGTTTTCTGGGGAAACAAAATCATAAGAAACTGCACGTACAAAATGTCTTACTCATCTTGGAAATTAGAAAAATAGTAGAACAAAACTTTTTATTTTTATTTTTTTCTTTTCTTTTCCAATCTTGTGTCCAAATTGTGTTTCTGGGTTTTCCGTTTTTACCCCAAAGTCTAATCTTTTAAATAACGAGTGTTTAATTTTCTACTCGAATTAAAATATTTCCGTTGATTTTGCTCTGTGTTTGTTCTTATTGTGTTCGTGGAATAATCTTCTTTGTTTTCAGTGTCACTGTTTATCTCTCTTGGTTTTTTGTTCCGATCACCGGAGATTGCGGATATCGTAAATTAGTATATAAAAAGTACTTTGTGTTTCTGTAAATTATTTTTATAAAAATAATAAATATAATAATAGGTGATTATTAAAGCTATAAGTAATTATAAAGTCATGAAATTTATAGAGAAAAAATTAATTTATAAAATGATAGTTTTAAAAGTAAGATTGTTTATAAATATAGATATCAAATGAAATAATCTCTTTTATTAATATTGTGAGTGTATTTCTTTTGATTTATAATTTTTTATGTTTTAACATTTTTATTATAATTTTTTTTATATTTTAAATATTTCAGATAATATAAATTAACTTTTTTCACAAATACTCTTATTTAATAATTGTTATTCTTAATTCATAATTACTCTTATTAAAAATATTAAATAAGAGTATTTTAGATTTAATATTAAATATTTTTAAAGAATGTAAAATATTTAAGCATAAAAATTATGATTCAGAAAGAGTAAATTGTGTTATATAT